CGGCGGGGGGGGGGGGGGGGGGGAGGCGGGGGACTGATTAGACATGTACCATACATAACTTACAAGGCAAAATGAAGACGTGGGACTAATGAGTCTAAAGAAAAAAGGCAGGAGGAAGAGCTTTAGGTCTTCAAGTGTGTAAAAAAAGCTACTACACATAGTTACAGATCAGTCTTTTACCCGTATTTCCAGTGGACAGAATTGTATCAGAGGACTTATCTTTTATTAAAGATTGCAGTAATTTTTTTTTTATGGGTATGAAAATGTGAAGCCCTAGAGCAGAGTAGTTGTGAAGACTGCAGAATCTCCATAACTGAAGATCTTTGAGAACAGTTTGGATAAATGTTAATCATGATTCGCATAGATGTAGTTGATCATGCTCTAGAGGAAGAGAAAGAAGTGGACTTGGGTAACTTAAGATCCCTTTCCAGCCTGTTTTTAATATCATAGGGTGTATCTTCATATTGCAAGACATGCTGAATACATCCGTAGCACTGACGCATCCTGAAGTATTGGAAGGTATAACAGAGTCCAGAGTGAAATATAAAATTTTTTGAGAGGGATATTTCTACTCCATCAAAGCATCTCAGTTTTCTGAATGAGTGCTCTTACTGTACCCTTCTCAGTAAATATTTCTCTCTTCACCTTTTGCAGCATTCCTTCCATTCACCTTCTCTAGTTGTGTAGCCAGCATTCTAGGTGGCTAACGAATAAGAGAGATGACACTTGGCCCATTCATTCCACCCTTCAACAGATCCTAGCCTCAGAGCTTGATCAGATCTTAATGTCTTTTGAACTTGATCCAATGCATAGGAAATGAAATGGAGAGGCTGAAGGAAACAGTGTAGGTCTGATAGGTCTTTTCATGTTTGTATTAAGTGAGATGGTAGAAACGTGAAATAATCCAAACTACTATTTTGGTAGCTGAGAAGATGAGAGGCTTTTAGAAGAAAAGCTGTCATAGGGTGTTATCCTAAATAGTAAGAATTATGCTAGCTTCCCTGGGTGGTCAGTGGAGCAATATTTTATTTTTAACGAATTGTCTTTTGTGCGCAGCTGGTAACGTTTTGTACTGCTGTCTGTGTGAAGTTGTATTTCATTCTCATGCTTCTTTAAGTTTGTGTGTAGTACTTTGGAAAACAGAAAAAGGACTGAAGCAGCAGGAGACAACCAAGTATTTAATTCTGCCAGCTGAGACCGCAGAAGAGAAAAAGCTCCCATCAGTAGAAAAAATGCTAGCCAAAAACCAGACGTGGCTCTGAGTATACACCTCTTTTCAGAGTCAGAAACCAAGTCTGGGCAGCTACCTGGTCAAAGCAAAATACTCTCTATTCGAGACAGAACTTTTGTTAGTCTCCCATTTCTTTCTTCCCATAGTGCGCTTCTTTCCATTTTAAAAGGGGATTAAAGATTTTCATGCTTGAAATAATTGAGAAATCTTACTAGCTGCTCTCTTTCCTGTCCCATCTCCTCAATGTAAAACTACTATGCGACAGTAAATTTAATTTGCAGTCCTGAGAGGAGGTTATATGGCCCGATGTAAAGGCCGTTGTATGTGGCAAAACTCTTGTCAGTGGTGGTGATCTCAGATACTGGTGGCAGATGAACTCTTGGTGTGGTGTCTCTGACTTCAGCAAACCTATGCTAAGAGTGTATTCAGCCAGTGAGTGTGTTGTGGTTTTATTTCTTTCCTCTCTACAAGCAACAGTGATTAAAAGGCCTCAGAGAGATGAACATAGATGGTTAACATTAATTTCAGCAACAGCAAGACACTATGTCCTATGATAAGCTGTTTAATTAAACCTTGCGCCTTTTTTAATCTGCGGTTATATTTCTGTCTGGCTTTTGTTTCTCATCTTGTCTCTGTCTCTAGTTGCCATGTTTCAGACATAGCCTCATTTATTTTTATCTTGCATGATTAATTCAGTTTACATAAAGGGTTTCTTGAGAAGGATGGATAAAGTATATAAAGCCCTTGTTCAGCCTAAATTTGGATTTAGATGGTTTGTAACTCTTCAGTGCAAGTCAGTCTCCCAGTTCTGCTGTGCCTCTTGCTCTTCCCTCCAGCCAGCCTAGAGAGCCTTGCCAAAGCTGTCCAACAACAGCTGTTGAGCAGTGCGCTTAATCACAGACACTCCTTGCTGTCCAACTGCATTTAATCAGTGCGAAAAATGAAACTGCTTTCAGAAAGTGTGTCACGGAGAGAAAATGAGCAATGAAACAAAGAGGAAAGCAGCATTTCCTAACCGTAACTGTTGTGGGGAGAAAGAAGGGTTGTTATCCCAAAGGAGGGGAAAATTGGTAAAAGCTTTCTTGGTCAGTTCTCCATGACGACGTAGATGTGTGCTGGGTAGAGATCATCATCGTTTTTGGTGTGTTAGGCAGCAGTGGAGAAATTCCTGCACTAAATGGCATCTAACAGCATTAGTGCACGTTTGAGGATGGTGTAGGACCAACAGTGGCGTGCGGGAAGTCTCTGACACACTGTACTGAAGTGTGATTGAATATTGAATTTCAGTGGAAATGCTGATCAGCTAGGATATCTGATTTCTACACAGGCTGAAAGACTGGGATTTTTTTGTACTTTAATAGTTTCTGACATAGCCACTGACAGCCTTTGTTTGCTTTTTCCTTAATACTACATAAAATACGTAGTGAACATAAAATCTGAGATCTTACGGGGTTTTTTTTATTATTAGGGGAAGGAGAAGAAATAACATCTATATTAAAGCCAAAAACATGTGGCTGTTGCACCGGTCATAAAGTATATTTTAATCTCTATTTGTAGGAATTGAAGGGTCAGGAAAGCAAGCAGAGCACCAAAGCTATGCTCCTGTAGGTATTTAGGAGAAAATACAAAGGCTAGATGCAGTTTCTGGAAAGTGTCAACTTGTTATTGTCTTGGTGCTTGCACTGATTGGGGGCGGATATGGACTCTCCTGAGAAAAATTTGGTCTGCATTGGACACCTTGTGAAGTCATACTTCATCAGCTTTTTTGTTAGTCCCCATCAGGCATACAGATGGTTTCAATTGTTTCTGAGTTTGTCTGAGGAAGGCTGTGACATAAATCAATACCAGAAAACAAGGGAAAGCTCTTTACTTTTTCCCCTTTGGCATAGTTTTGCATGGACTGAAAACTAATATAAGATGGAGAATGAGCGTAAGGGAACAGGAAACTTTTTAATGAGGGAGGAGGTAGCATGTTTTGAAGATGTACCCACCCCCTGCAATTTGGGTACTGGGGCTGTCTGGAGAGATGTAGTAGAAGCAATGTGATTAATTTTTAGCCTGGATCTAAATGGGTGCAACCTCATTTATCTTCCTTAAACACTAGATGTATGTGGCTTTTCTGCCCTGCTTGGCCCCTGCATCCCCCCAAGAAAACTTTTTTCTTCTTTGTGTGCACACACAAGCAAGGGTAGCTGGTGAGATTAGCAAGCAGAGACCATGGGAAAGCTCTGGAGTTACTGCAGACCATCTGCTAGGAGTTATGTCCTGTCGTTTGTTGCAGGCTTGAGGAAGAGAAGGTTGGAAATAGCCTTTGAGTCTTACTGGGGTGTTGCTGGCTTTATCATTTGCTCTAGAATTCTTGCTAGATAACAGTGTTATTCTAGAAAAGTTTTGATCTGGTGCTTCAGTTCCAGGCTTGTAATGAAAACTAACAAATAAGTAACAATGCAGTCTCTTATCTCCTTTTCTGAAAACTCATGGGATGTAGCTGGCAGCCATGCAAGAGCCTAAATGTAACAGTCAAAAATAACGCGGCAGGAACTGTGCAGTACGTTGGTGTAGCACATGCTTCTATATTTGCTGCAGTTGGAACACTCACAGGGTATTTGTCCCCCTTTGTCAGCGCGAGCATTGCAGGATTACCTCGCTGAGTTGAAGGAGTTTACTGGCTTGGTCCAAAATTAATGAATTCATAGAAGTTGCCTACCAGCTGAGACCTGATTTGAATGTTGTACTGAAGCAGCCTGAGCTATAGAAATATTCGCACAAGAAAAGCTGAAGTAGCCTGGAATGCCGTTGCCATGTGGATGGAGAAGGAATTCCCAGGCTGTTTGCTTAAGTTGGATGGGTGCTCTGGTGCTGAGCGATCTTGGGAACTTTGCAAAATTCTGATAATAATTTTCATTTCACATCAAAGTAGATGAAACAATCAAAGAGACGAAACTTAAGCTTAGGCAAAGTAATTCTAATGAAGTGTTTCGAAGAGGGGGAGGAAAACCCTGAGCTTGCACACTTTTAATTCAAGTTTGTGTGGTTTTATTTGGGGAATCAGCAAAAATGTGAAAGTTGTAAGCCCGTGTGGATTTTGTATCAAATAGTTAAGTATCTGGGAAGAACTTCATGCTGATTTTTATAATTATGTATGGTGTATCCCAGATGATTTTGTGACCTGCATATGTAGAGAGTAAACTGAATGGGGTGGGAATAAGGCAGTAAGCTCATTCAAAAAAGATCCCTCTTTCTGCCTTGAATTTGCAAGATAACAAAGCTCATGAGTGACTGCATTTAGTAATATCTGGCTTTGTGTTGCCAATTATCACCCATAAAATATGTTCTGAAGCGACTGCTACTTCAGCTTTCGGCGTAAGGAGCCGTCTAGCAAGAAAAACCGCTTAAATCCTCCGCCCACCACTGTCACAACCGGTGTGCTTTGTACATAGGCAGAGACAAGCAGAGTTAAAAATCTGTTCTAAAACGCCAGAACTGCCTGATTTTGAAATGATCTCTTCTTGATGTGGAAAGTCCCAGAAGCTTGCTATCTCATCCAAAGTAGGAATCCTGCCAGGAATCCTAAATAGGTAATGGTGCGTGACGGGCGGTTTGATAACGAGCATTCATCTGGCTTCTCCTTCTTGTTTTTCCCCTCACAGTTGTCTGGTGGGTGCGAGCTGACGGTGGTAATCCACGACTTCACTGCCTGCAACAGTAATGAGCTGACAATCCGCCGTGGGCAGACGGTGGAGGTCCTGGAGAGGCCCCATGACAAGCCCGACTGGTGTCTGGTTCGAACCACAGACCGGTCCCCAGCTGCAGAAGGCCTGGTCCCCTGCGGGTCCCTCTGCATCGCTCACTCTCGCAGTAGTATGGAGATGGAGGGGATTTTTAACCACAAAGGTAAGAAATGCTGGAAACAAAGTCTCGTCATCAGTGGTGCAAGTTTTGGGTAATGGGGAGTACTGTGCAAAGAGCCACTTCGGCATTCTTGCGCTGCTTCAGTTTCTAGTTTTTAATTAGATAAAACACAATGCTTCTAGCAACCTGCAGTCACACTGTCCATTCCGAAATAAGCAGTCAGCAATTCTCAATGTTAAATGAAAATGTGGCTGAAGACAGGGAAGAGCTTTAAGCAAATTATGTCTTGGTGAACAGTTATATATCATGTTAGATCAAGCTGTGATGATAGGAAGATCTATACGTGTCGTGTGCTGAAAGGGGGGAGGGAAGAAAATCTCCAGCATGCAATATCAGTGGCTCCTGAGAAACCCTGCAGTAAGAAGTTATGACAACATCAGGCTCAGCGATGGAAAAGGTAAATACACACATTCGTATGCCCTGGCACAGGAACTGGCTATTTGGACTCATGTATTTTACTTAACTGAGTTTTCCAAAATAGCAGTGGGATGTTCATCCCTTTTTCCCAGAGCAGCTCTGAAATCTTACTTTGTTTTTTCAGATGCATGAAAGAATGTGCCCCTGAAGGGTGCAACAAAAACCCGATAATTTTTTGAAAGTTTTTAAGGCTTTGGTGTGCTGTAGTCCTTTGGCTCCGTAAACTCCCCAGGCTCACAGAGTAGTTTCTTATTAGAGAAAGTGCTTGCTTGCTCTTTTTGAAACTACTTGAGTTTACAGCCTGTGAATAGAAAGCAATGTGAATTAAAAAAAAAAAAACAGAAAACCAGTTCATTAGAAGGTGTTTCATCACATGCTAGGGGAAAAGATGCATTTCAAAAAGTTTGTTATTGCAAATAACAAGATTAGCAGGAAAGTGGCGTTGGGGAAAACTTGTTTTCCAAAACACAAAATTCCAGTTTTGGAGAGTTTTTCATAAATATAACCACAAATTTTTCAATTATTCAGTCCATCCCAGCTATCACATTACAATTTTTCCCATTTTTTTCAGACGCTGTATTAATGTGCTTGGCTAAAAGAGGGGACAGCTTGTGTTTCTTACATTAGGAGCATGCACAGCAGGAACTTCCTGAATGCAGGGCAATTGGGAGGGGAAGTCTGAAGGATTGACCTGTATAGTTGGAATGCTTTTTCATCCTCTTGTGTCCTATAACAATTTGGATAGAGAAAGTTTGCAGTTGTTCTGATGATAAAATTGGAAAATGTAGTTAGGTATCACTGGAACATTTTTTCCTTTGACTAGGAGGTGAAATCACGGAAGTGTCAACAGGATTTTTTTTTTTTTTTTTAACAACGCTCACAGAATTGATAAATCCAATTTCCTTTGGAGCTAGGGGACTTCACCTTTGAATGCAGAGAATTTTATTAGGAGAGGCAGATTGTACTGGACAATATATGTTATGTGAAGAACATTGAGCTTGTCAGACTCCTGAGGGAGAGACAGAGCTGTTTTTGTCTTTGAGAGGTTACTTTTATTAATCAAACCAGTGGACATAACTTGTATTGCTTTTTTTCCTTTAATGGTTGTTTGGGGAAAATGGAGCAGAGCATTGTAAAGTTACTTTAGTTTCTGTTTAACATGTTGCTTTGAAATGAAGAGCGTTAATTAATTATATTAATCATGGAGACTGAAGAAGAAAAGGCCATTGCTAGAATGAGCATGATTTGCAGGGTTGAATGCAGCCTCAGAAGTGACTTCTGTCCCTGCCTCTGTCACAGCCTTCCTGTGGGATGTTATGGCATGCCATGTAAACCCCAGCTGATAAGAAGCAGCTGCTAATTGTTTATTCCCACATTACTGGGTGTCAGGCTTTAGGAGCTGGATGTTTGATTTGTAAAGTTTCCCATGCATGTGACTGTGACAGAAGTCAGTATGAACTGTCTTGAACATGCAAACTATTATATGTTAAGTAATCCAGGGAGGAAATAAAAAGGCGAAAAATGAAATTACTTTAGACTGAGTACTTGAAACCACTGGGTACGTTTGACTTCGGTCTCTACCTCAACTTCCTATTGCTTGAAAGAGGTTGATAGTGTTCACTTCACAGAGGGATTACAAAAATTAAGCAAAATTAGTGGAGTGCTTTGATTTTATTTTTTCCCCCATAGTGAAAAGTACCTCAGACAATCCCACAAAACAATTACTCATTCTCAAGTGCTGCGTTTGATTAAAGATCTTTAAATAAGGCATTGGGGAATATGCTAATCAGAAGAATGGAAAAACAATTATTATATTCTCAGAATTGTTCATTGTGGGCATTGATTGAGGTATGAATTCCTAAAAAATAAAACAAAACAGAAAACAACCCCCATAACAAAGAGTGAGTGAATGACTAATGTAATTTAAGGCAGTCCATGTACTTGCGTGGATAACTCTTAAATGTTATATTTCCTAGATTTCTAGTGCTTGATTCTGCAACTTCAGTCTTTGAATACGGATATTTTTCCTTTTTTGACCATAATTCAGTAAAACTTTCAGGGTTTTTGAATGATTCAACAAATTAGGATATTGCCCTCTGGAGTTTTTAGGTCTGAAAATACATGTGATATGTCAGGCTCGCAGTGTGAGCATCAGCTCTGAGTCATTCTGTACAGTTCATGGGCTAGGCCACGTGCAGCAGACACAAGTCTGGAATTTGTGCATGTCTGGCATCGCAAGCTGTTGTGAGAGGCTCAGGGAGAGAGAGGTTTTATGTAATTCCAAAGGAAAAAGTGAGGTGATCACCATCAGAAGTGGTGGGGGTAGATGCTTGGATGTTGAGTGCTTACGCTATACAAATGGTTTGTTGAAGCGAAGAATTTTGCACTCCTTTCAGTATCTATGGACCCTACAATTTTGATCTTTTCAACAGTGTTTATCAATACTGCTTGCCAGCTAAACAAGTTGGAGAGCTTGATATACTTAAATTATATATCAGAGGTGAAGTGAGCTTCAAAGTTTTGAAATGGCAAACCTCTTCTAATTTACAGCTGGTTCTTAAGTTGTGTAAAACCACATTTCATCACTGAATACAGAAATGTGGGGTGGTATTTAATGCCTTAAATAATCTGAAATTATTATCCAAAGTAGGGTAACATGAAAGATTATTCGAACAAAAAGTATGTTCAATGAAGACTAGTTCTGACAGCTGACCTTGGCCATTCCTTGTCAGTCCACATGTTATCTGTCAACCATGAAAGGTAGCGTTGTTTTATTCTCATGTTAGAAGGCAGCCCCAAAAATGACCCTCATCACTTGCCTAGAAGTGTAGATGTTACTTGTCCTCTAAGAATGTGTATTGCTTTCAATATCTGATCAGTATCAATGGGTAAAAAAAATGCATTTACAGTATCTTCAATCTTTAAAATTTTATAGTAGTTAACAAACATTTTGTTAAGAGTATGGGGAAAGCATTACATAGAAAAAAGGCATTCGCTAGGTGGATAGTCATTTAGGGGGAGGGTTGATTGCAGATTCAAGACCTCTTGCTCGTTCTGCTGGATATCAAATCTATTTTTTAAGTTATTTGGGTCATTTAATCAATTTGAGGTGCAGTTCACAGCTGAGTACATTTTAAAAAATCTAAATCCATTTTATAATGGGGAAAAAAGACAAACAAGTGGGTAGTGAAGAGGTTGAAGAACAGTTGGTGCACTCTACAAAAAAAAAAATTACTAGCTTTGGAAGAACATGTTTTTCACAAGTAATACATAAGGCAACAATTTTTTTTGCAATGATTCTCCACATGTTATTGGGTGTGGGGGAGAAAGAATGTTCCTGTTGTTTTATTTGGTGCTTCTCTCTTTTTTAACAAGGGTTTCTTTTCATTCTGTGGTACATCCTTTTTATACGTGCTCTTCTTCTTTCCTTTGTTTGCAGGACATTTACAGAGCTACAGAGCTTTGGGTAAAGGGCAGGGGACAGGATTCAGTATAATGAAATTAAACTTGTAAGCTCAGAAAAATTGGCAGGTATTTAAAATTGTTTGTGAATCTCTTGCCTGTTTAGATCGCAAGTTCACTGTCTTTTCCAACTTTATGAGTACTTCTGAAGTCTGAAGAATTTGTGACAGTCCATCATATCCCTTCTGTAGATGCTACTGTTTGGAGAACTACAAAGGTTACAACAAGCCTTTGCTCATGAGGCTTACATTAACATGTCTTCTTTATAAGTTATGAGGTGTTTTGGGGACCACATCTAACTGCCAATTCATGTTACTATCTGTTTGGTTCAAAACTTGTCCACAGACATCTTTTTGTTTACCTGGAGGTACAATGTCTGCTTGTTTTATACATTCTTATAATTCAAGTATCTGTATAGGTTTGTTCGGACCTGAAAGGTAGGGATGAGACTTAGCCATGGTTTCCACTCGGACAAAAGCTATGGCCAGAAGGGATGTGGCGACACAGACGGAGCTCCCACTAAAACATGCAGCCACTCAGGTCTCTGGCTGCAGGGAGTGCCAGGGCCCTGCTTGGGTGACAGAGGGCTGCTGAGACAACACCTGCATGAGGTGCAAGCAGGTGGAGGACTGGCTCAGCGTGGTGGCAGAGCTGAAAGAAGAAGTAGCAAGACTGAGGAGTATCAGGGAGTGCAAGAGGGAGGCAGACTGGTGGG